GGATGGAGCTACAGGACACAGGCCCGGGCGAGGCTCTGATGTTAATCAGTCTCACCCACTGCCCAGCCGCACTCCGTGACTCCTCCCCTTCCCCTGCATGGAGGCTGCGGAGGGTGACCTGCCCGAGGGCACAGAGCCCTGCAGGGCAGAGCAGGACTGCGCCGCCCGCCCCCAGAGCTCACACATTCCCCTCCACGCCCGAAAGCGAAAGCGACGGCCCCTGGACAGGGCCCTGGGCAGTCCTCGGGGCCCAGGGGCACGGAACCCGGAGGCAGGAGGCCCAGGTGCCAGCCTTCCCAGACTCCTAATCACCTGGCTCTGGGCAAGTTCACGGACGCTGTTGGGACTCAGGACGCCTCACCCTCCAGTGCGACAGCAGGCGAATGAGCGCTGGCCGCCAACACCGCGCAGGGGAGGATTCTGGGAGCTCCTCTGAGTTCCCCTGGAAAGACCGTCATTCACTAGTGATGCTGTCAGAGCCCAGGAGGAGGACGCGGCCGGGCTGCACCCCAGCACCCACGCTCTGACGGTCCCCGTCTCCCAGTCCCTCTCCCTCTTCCAAGCCCTTCAGCACCACTTCCTCATCGGGAATGACACCGGCCACCTGCCCACGGTGCTTTTGGCCTTGACTTTATTTAGCCCTCATTCCACCCCACACGGAGCTCCGGGGCTTCCCGGGACTACTTTCCACGGGGTCCTCATGCCCGTCTGCATTCCGTGCCAGCAGGAGGGTGCCAGATGGGTGAGCAAGGCTGTGGGAACCTGGAACCAGCAAGGTGGCTGGCCACGGGCAGATCAAGGCTGGGGCAAGCCAGGCCCGAGGCCAGAGGCTCTGCCAAGGAAAAGCACAGTTGGCCTGCAGCTGCCCGGGCTGCCTGGGCAATAGGTTGCGCAGCCAGCGGTGGGAAGGGCCACCCCACACGGTGGCCCCCACTGACACACAGGGTGGAGAGCGGAAAGTGACCGGGGGAGTCTCACCCGGGACGACCCAGCCAGCCAAGAGCTGCAAGTTGCTGAACACCTGTGATAGCTCCTCTGGTGACATCCTGCCCCTCGCCCACCAGGGCCCCGGGACCAACCTGCCGTCCCGGACTCGTCCTCGGGACCACTGTTCTTGCCGTCACTTCTACTTCACGCTTCCTCCCTACCCCACGCTGCCCCCGGCCAGATTCGGGGCCCCGCCAACATCTGCTAACTCAACAGTGGCCGCCTGTTCCGAGGCCGCTCCGGGCAGCTCGGGGGCTCGGTGTGTGGGCCGCTGCCATGAAGCGAACCTCTGTTCAGCCTCCCGACCCCTCCTCACCAGTGTCTCGCTTCTGTTGGAAGCACTGTTGAGAAATACAATTTGTTGCTCTTTCAAGATGACCAGCTTGGAATTAAAAACACAGCAAGGACCGCGGCAGCCGGGGACACGCCATTCGGCGGGTCATGTTTCACTGTCGCCGTTTCTGAAACCTCTGCTCGCACGCAGGCCTCCCCGTCTGAAGGGCTCCCGGAGCTCAGGTCTCAACCAATAATCGACGGACGCTCAGCGGTCGAACCAGGTCTCCAAAGAGCAGTTACTCATCATGGCGACAGAAGTCCGGCTAATACTCAGCTCACATGCTCAGGCGGGCCCTGCCCTCAGGGACACACCGTCACTTTGCGACAGGGACACTCGGCTTCATGGGAAACACCGAGCAGAAGGGCCCCCTAGACCTGAGGAAACTGCAGAGGCCACAGGACCAGACCTGGCAGGGTGGGCAGCCTGGCCCTGTGCTGCCTCCGAGCGGCCTGCAGACCCAGCAGCTGCCACCTGGTGACAGGGAGGGCGGGCATTCGGGACAAGTCTCTCATCATTTCTCCCTGGGGGCGGGGGTTTCTCCTCGCTACAGTCACCCTCCCCACTCAGCACCCACAACCTGCCCGTGAGCTGGGCACTGAGCTTTTAAGAAGACGTGGAAGGACAGTGTGAAAGCAATTGTTGTTGTTAATCCTCACCAAGGACGGTTTCCCATTAATTCTCAGAGTGGGAAGGAGGGAGGGGGGACAGAGAGAGAAACGTCGATGTGAGGGAGACACATCAATTGGTTGCTCCTACACAACCCTGACCGGGAACAGGGATTGAACCTGCAACTCAGGGACGTGTGCCCTTGACCGGGAACTGAACCTCTGACCCTTCGGTCCTTGGGCCGATGCTCTGACCACAGAACCACACCAGCCAGGGCTGAGAGCAACGTGTAACCCTCACCCGCTGCGTCCCAGCCTCGGTGCTGCAGGAGACAGGAGTCACCGCTGCCAGCCGCTAGACAGCCGTGCTCAAAAGTGAAGCTGGGAAGGGACGAGCTATCGGAGGGGTGTCCGGGGCTCCCAGGGTCACGTCCACCTCGTTCTGTGGGCAAACGGCGTGGGACGAGAATGCTCCCACAGCCGCCCTCCCCGTGCAGCGCGCCGACGATCTGTCACCGTGCCGCACGCCTCGGCTGGGCACCGCGCTCGGTTCTGTCACCGTGCCGCACGCCTCGGCTGGGCACCGCGCTCGGTTCTGTCACTGTGCCGCACGCCTCGGCTGGGCACCGCGCTCGGTTCTGTCACCGTGCCGCACGCCTCGGCTGGGCACCGCGCTCGGTTCTGTCACCGTGCCGCACGCCTCGGCTGGGCACCGCGCTCGGTTCTGTCACCATGCCGCACGCCTCGGCTGGGCACCGCGCTCGGTTCTGTCACCGTGCCGCACGCCTCGGCTGGGCACCGCGCTCGGTTCTGTCACTGTGCCGCACGCCTCGGCTGGGCACCGCGCTCAGGGGAGCTGCAGGCAGGCCCCCCACTCGCAACAGACAGGTCGTGGCAAGAAGGGGACAAAGCAGCAGCAAAGGCGAGGACAGAGGACAGAGGTAAAGCAGAGTGAGAAAGACGGACAGAAAAAGAAAAAGGGGTGTTCTAACGATTGCGTGTCTCCTGAGAAAGTCGCCGTCTCTGCCTCTGAGTGACTCCGTGTGAGCTCAGGGCCCCTCCCAAGCCCTGCAACTGTGACACTAGTGCTTGTCAGCACTCACCACGTGCCCGCCAGTGGGCCAGGTGGTGTGTGTGTGCAGATACACACACACACATTTACGTCAACAGATATACACAAATGCATTCACACATACACACATAGGTATACATTTACACATAAATACACACACGTATACGTTCACAGGCACACACGTATAAATACACATATACATATACATTCACACATGCACTCACATAAATACACACATATGTATACATTCACACAGGCACACACATATAAATACACATATACATATACATTCACACATGCACTCAAATACACACATACGTATACATTCACACATACACATATTAATACACACATACGTATACATTCACAGATGCACACATATACACACATGCGTATACACTCACACATACACACATGCATATACATTCACACACATACACAGACACATGTATAAACACAGACACGCGTGTGCATGTGTTTTCCCTTACTCCTCCCCACAGGCCTCTGCTGCACAGAGACCCTCGGTGATCTGCCCAGAGCTGCCAGCCTCCAGCCCCATTGCTGGAAGCCTTCTGATTCGGCGCTGTCCCTGCCAAATGTGGATCTAAAGGTGAACACCATGTTCCAGAAGGGCCAGCTTCCTCGGGAGGGGCTGGAAGGGGCAAGGCCTGTGGTTACACGCATCTCTGACACTTCTGCTCCAGCTCGGGGCGGCTCCCCACCCCAGGACACTTGTCCGCTCAGCGGGCGTGCACAAGGGCCAGCCTGGGACCGCAGAGCTATCCGTTCTCCCCCGACGGTCAGTCTTGGGTTCTCTCCCAGGTCCCTTTTCTGTTGGCAACGGGAAGGGGTTCTGGCTACCATCGTCAGTCGGGCTCTCTGCCCCTGGGGTTCACACATCCCCCAGGGGGCCAGCCCATCAGCACTTCCAGGGAGCAAGCCTTTGTCCGAATTCACAGTCGCTCCAACAGTCTAACCAAAAAGGCACTCGGCACCTCCCATCTGCGCCTCTCGCACCTGGCCCAGAGCCCAGCACAAAGGGGGTCCTCTCTAAGAGCGCTCCGTTGGAACCCCTCCCCGCAAGTACGCAAACGTGTCAACCAAGATCAGAAGGCCCACGAGGGAGCCCACGGCCCAGCTTGAAGACAGGACGTCAGGAAGCACGGAGCGGCACCCACAGCCTGCCCTTCCACGGGCGAACCGTGCTCGCTCCCCGGGAGCCACAGGGGCTCAGTACAGCCACGGCCTGTGGAGGCAAAGGCCTGTGGGCAGCAGGTACCACACCGGCTGTCGCCAGGCATGAGCAGGTCCTGTACACACACCAGCTCCCGGGGTACCAGGCCCAGGCCGGGTCTGGGCCTCTTAAAATGCACAGGGGCTGCCCTGGGCCAGGCCTCCAAGGCTCCTAGAAAAGCAAAGCCCACCTTCTGAAGCCATCAATCACCCAGTGGGGAACCAAAGCAGGCAGAGCCCCTGGAGGGGGGCTGGCCAGGGTCTACGGGCTTGGTGGGGGGTTCAGAGTCCATTCCCAGGGTGCTGGCTTCAGCCCTTCAGCACACACACTTCCCAGAGGCCCCTTTTCTCTCTCCCTGGACTCTGCCCTGCCCAGGCCCTGGCCAGGGAGCCAGGCAGAGCCTCCTCGGGTCCTGGAGACACGCCCGGACCCAGCGAAGCAGCCCACACATCTGGGCACAGCACCGCGGAGCAGCGTGTTTGAAACGGCTTCTACCCACGTAAGGACGGGAAACGTCTCCGGAGACGCCGGTGGGGGTTAGTAAAACATGACAACACGTGCGAGTTGTTTTTATTACCTATCTGGCTGATGAGCTAATAAAACAAGCTCAGCATTAAAAATTTAACTGAAGCCATTTATCACACCTAGAACTCAGGGTTTCCTTCAGAAGTCCCCCAAACCTGTCCCCTCTCCAGCCTTTTTACCTATTTAGATTTTTCCCGAGGAGGAAAATTCCACCCCTGCGTCCAACGTAAATGAATGCGTTCAACCGGCGTCTGGCTGTAGAGTCCTGGGGAAGAGGGCAGACACAGGGGCGGCGGTGGAGGCAATGGAAACCCGGGGGCGAGGGGCCAAGGCCGGTCCGCCCAGACCTCCTGAGGACCCCGGCGGAACCCACGGGCCCATCACCGTTGCCTCCGCTGCCCCAGGTGGGAAGCCCGCGCTCTGGGGCCAGGTGCGCTCTGGACTTGACGTCCTGCACCTCTTCCTCGGAGGGGGGTGCTAGGCTGGAGGGGGGACCCGAGGAGAGAGCAAAGCCCCGTGAACAGAGCTGCGTTTTCGCTCCGCAACGCAAGGCGGGCCAGCTGGCCGAGCGGCCCGGAAAGGAGTGGACGTGGAGCGCCCCGGCCACCCGGGCCACGTGCTGTGCAAGCCGGGCCGAGCCCTCGCCGCCAAGCAGCTCGCCCTCCCGGCACGGCTGACGCTGACAAACCGAGACCGGAACAGTCGGTGCTCAAGCCACAATACGACGCCCGAGGGCCTCCGGACGCAGTGTTCCACCCACCACATCCGCCGGCCTCTGGGTGGACGGGTCGCAAGGGTCAACCCTGCGGCCTGGGCCTCACCGCCATCCTCAACCGCCCCAGTCAGGACCACGTGCAGGGGGCCTGCAGGCTCAGGGCCTCTCCTATCGACGGGTATTAACTCCAAGTCCACCTCGTCCCATCGAGACCAGTGGAGGCACAAGGCTTTAAGACACAGAGGACAAGGTGTAAGGGACGGGGGTGCGGCCAGAGGCCTTGCCAACAGTAAACAGCGAGGCCGGTGACAGACGGAGGTAGCACAGTGGTCGGGCTCACAGTGTCTTGCTAGTCTCACATTTTCGACATTTTCATCAAAAGAATAAGCCCTCCCCCCATCTCTTATTCTCGAAAACCATTACCCCCAGCGCTGACTGCAGGCTCAGCCTAGTCTGAGGGGCACGGAGCCGGGCCTGTCGAGCGTTCCGCTGCAGGGACGGGCACCGGGGTGTGGGGGCACCAGTCTGCCCGCCAGCGCCCTGATGCTCGCCCTCTCTCTGCCCCTGTACCCCAGCACTGTGATCACTGGATCAGACAATTCCCGATTTCAAGTGGAGAAAAGCAGACACTTAAAAAAAAATGTTGTCTTTCTCTGAATAGGATTTAGAAATACAAGGAAAGGAGCCCACTCCTGAGCGTGCGAAAGTGGGGCCCCCGAGGCCCGCGGAGCACCCCCGTGCGGCCGGGGTGCTTACCTGTGCCATCTTGGCCAGGTCTAGGGAAGGCCTCTGCTCCTGCACCTCCTCGGGGCGCCGCCGCTTGACGCCGACCTTCTTGTCGTTGAGGACGCAGGGCTGGGAGCGGCTGCGGGGCAGCCCGCTGGGGCGGCGGGCCAGCTCCGGCGTGCAGGCGGGGGTGCTGCTGGCGGAGGGCGCGCAGTACTCAGCGAGCGGAAACTGCTCGTGGGAGCAGGACAGCGACCGCTGCATGTCAAGCCGGGCCCCTGCTCTGGGGTTCAGGGCGGGGCTCCAGATGTCGCCTGCCTGTCCACAGGTGGCCGAGCCGGGCGCCCCCTGGCAGGGCTGGCCGCCACCGCGGTGGTGAGAGCCCGCCGGGTCGCAGGGCGAGGACAGCACGCTGGCCCGGGAAGGGAGGCTGAAGCTGGAGCTCCGCTGCATGGTGCCGAAGCCGCCCGAGTACCGGGGCACGCTGCCCCCGCTGTGGCAGCGCCGCTTCTCCACGGGGGTCCAGACTTTGGACCCCAGGGGCCTCCATGATGTCCGGCAGCTGGACATCTCGTCGGAGAAGGACAGGGACCGGCACTGGCGCTTGCTGGGGGGCGCGGAGGGGTTCCCGTTGTGGTCGCTGAGGCTGAGGTCCTGGATGAGGTTGGTCACCGCGCAGGCGGTGGCTGCCTCCTGGTGCCACAGGGCGCCATCCGGACACTTCTCGGGCAGGCATTCCCAGAGGCTGGCACTCGGCTGCTCGATCTGAAGAGGGCACTTCCTGTCCAGGTCTCGCCACCTGTCATTTTCTGGTTCATGAACGACAAAGAGAAGAGATTGGAGAAGCCCTCGTGCTAGCCCGCGACCCCTCACCACGAGCCTTTCAACCCGGGACCTGAGAGCCGGAGGCCCGAGAACCGCCCAGGCCAGCCTCACTCTACAGAGGGAAACGCAGGCTCAGACGGGGGCGTAAATCCCAGGCACGGAGTTAGAAGCAGAGCGAGGCCCCGAATCCAGGTACCCCGACTCCTGATGTGGTTTTCTCTCCAACATGCTGACCTGCCTCCCAGAAAAGCCCAAAGCATCCTTTTCACCCAAGATGCTTTTCACTTGATCCATGGAAAACCGAACTGCCCGCCCCGCCCGGCTGGTGACACACCCGCTACATCCCGCCATGTGCGTGGCTCTTGGGCTGGGACGCGATGGCCCTGGCGGCTATAACCAGAGATAAGTCCATCGGTGCTCCAGAGGGTCAGGGTCAGTGGGGCTGGGTGCTGCCGGGCTGGTTTATCTGGATTCCACCTTTAAAACAATACGTGCTGGCAACAGAAACTGCGTGTTTTATTGATTTGTGTTCCCTCCGCCAAAAGACTCCACAACAAAAACAGCAGCAGCTGCCAGTCACCAAGCCCTGCCCTGGAGTTGGCTGGATTTCTCCCTGACGTCGGGCTACAGTGATTAAATCTACAGGGTGGAGTCCGGGGCTGCAGAGAGCTAAGGGAGTGAGCTGAACTTACGTCCAGGTCCCTGCTTGGACACGAAGACGTACGCTAACCCGGCGCTGAAACGCTGGCTGCGCCGGAACCTGCACACTGGCGACCTAGCCGGAGCCACCGTCCTGCTAAGGGGTCGGCACGGCTGGGGGACTGGGCAGCACTGGGAGGTCACCTGCGGGAGGTCACCTGCTACGCCCTGCACTCCGGTTTCTGACGCAAAACCAGGTTCAGAAACGCACGTGCCCCCGGGGACCGATACCTTGCCGTGCGTCTAGATTCCTGACCAGCCTACATCGATCCGCTGTGCAGACGTGAACGCCGAGAAAACTGTGGCTGGAAGTAAAGGCTGCAATGACCCTCGGGAGGTTTTCACGCACTGCAGTCACCGACTGAGCACCCGCCACGGAACCCACACCGCGCCCTGCCTGCAGCCACGTCACTGCCCACACAGGGAGACCGAGCTCAGGGGGAGGCACGCAGCCGACAAGCGACAGGCTGTGAGCCCAGGCTGGCCCGTGTTCCTCTCACCACAGCACAGCGATGAGGGGAACCGGCGCTGGCCCGGCCCTCAGGGAGAGCCCCAGAGTGTGTGTAGCCTCCACGCACGGTCCCGGCGGCAAGGACCACACCTGTCTCCTCCACCGGTGGCCACTCCTCACAGGGACTGACCCCTGCTGAGTATCACAAGCAGCAGCTCTGTGACAGGTGCAAAGAGAAGGCCCAATGAGGCCCGAAAGAAACTTCGTGAGCCAAAGGCTAGGCCAACTCAGGGTTCCGTGTGACACTCCTTCTAGGGCATGCTGCCGTGTCCTGGGACAGAGTCTGAGGGCCTGGGACCCTGGACTGGACACGACAAGAACTGTACAGAGGCTGTTCCCACGACAGGGCCTCAGGAGCTGGAGATGCCGGAGAGAGATCTTCCCTAAGCCCGGCCAGGTCGGACGGGAGCAAAGCAGAGCTGTCCCCAAATGCCCAGCTCACCTCGTCCTGAGCCTCCCGGGGCCTCGGTGTGTGGCAAGGGTCGGCACGAGCTCCTTTAACGGAATTCGATAGATTGTTGCCAAGAATTCCCTTTTTTCCGAGTAGCTTTTAGGCTGTGAAAGACGCGTCTGCCACGACCACTCTAGTTGTGGTTCTTTCGAAACAGTTTCAAAGTGCCATGTGTCAGCTGTTCAAAGCTCAGTAAACAAGTAACAGTAAAGAATGAAAAGAAATACAAACTAACACGGACTGAGTCACCACTGCCGTGTTATCTGATTTAGAAGAACAGTTGTGCTCAGGAAAAAAGTGCAGATTTATGTGTGACGATGCTCGTCCCAACCACAGCGCGGCGGGGCCGGGTACGTAAATCATCGCCGGACAACACGGAGCACGAGGGAGCCGGTGTGGGGAACTGCGGGCGACGCTCTGCGGACATCCCCCAGGAGCATAAAGACACGGGCTACGAAACGGTGTCCACAGCACGAGTCCTACGCAGCAAAAGACGCGGGGACACGTGGAGATAGAAGACCGAAAGGTTCGCAGGCCAGAGGCCAACAGCTGGCTGGCTCCTCTTGTGTCCTTTTTGTTTTCCTACAGTTTCTGCATTTTCTCCAAGAGCAAATGCCTTTCCAAGTCCATGTGGGTCGTGGCTGTGCCGGGGTCAGGGCCAGGGCCTGCAACCCCCTCCTCCTCTGGCTGTGCTGCTTCGTCTTTCAAGGAAGTTCCCCTAGAATAACGCTGGCCACCAACTTCTCTTTTGGGACAAGGCACCGCGGCGCCAGATGGGCCAGGAATGTGGCCAAATGAGGAAGGAACCAATGGGCCCCACCCAGGAGCGGCGAGGGCCCCGAGATGGCACCACAGTGGCCCTCACGGCAGAAGGTGCCCCTCCCAGGCCTGGGAGGCCAGTGAAATCGAAGGGACTGAGCCCATCCAGCAAGGGTTTCTGGGGAAATCACAAGAAGAGGGGAATTGGGAGCCAGGAAAGTGACCAGCCATCTCCCACGGCATCCCGAGGTCACACTGTTTCTGGACCCCTCTGGCCTCCCTACCCAGCGTGCATCCTCACGCCTGCAGAACTCTCTGAGGCCCACACCCGTCGGGGTCCATCTCCTCCAGCCTCGCGGAGAGAGTGCAAACGTTTTAGCCCGGCATCCGGGTCCCCAGCTACTCATCTCTCCCCGTACGCCCCACGCTCCAGACACACCAAACTTCCTGTGACATCAGAAGTCAGGCGAGAATGAGGCTGAGTCAAAAATCACCCTAGAAAGTACCCTAAACAACCCTGGTCTGTGCACACAACCCCCTGAAGAGTAATTTTTATGCACCAGAAATTCCTTATGAAACTGAAGTTTGATACAGCGACTGCAGGAACGCGCGTAGGTGACCTCCATTGGCAGAGGGGGCGGGTGTTCAGTTTGTGTTTCGGTGAGGTACAAGTCCCCAGTGGCGGGGGTGCAGCTAATTCTGAAGTGTTCCTGCCTGCCTGTAGGAACCGTCCCACTCCTAGGGGTCGCCAGCCTCTCTGGCCTCAACACGAGCCATTTCTTTGTTGCCGGGGGGTGAAGAGTCAGTCCTCAACTCAGTCCGCTGGGCAAATTCAAGTACAATGGGATCCGCAATGAATCCGCAAGCTCCCCACCCCCACCCCTGCCACACATCAGCTCTGTCTCGGTGCAACAGCCTGGAATATTCTCCCACCTTCATCCTTCCTCCAACAGTCTCTTACCCATCATTTAAGAACCAACTCAAGCATCACTTCCTCTGCAGACACACTTTTCCCTTATCAGCCCCTGTGCACCCACAGGTCATCGTGGAGACTTTTGATCGTATGGCTCAGATGCTAACTGAACCTTACTGATCTGTTTACGTGTCTACTACCGGGCCCTAAGCTCTCGGCATGGCTCCCCGGTGCCCAGCGTGGAGCTTGGCACACAGCAGACCTCAGCCGGGGTGGGGGCAGGAGGGAGTGACGGACAAGGGCAGATGGAAGCTGTGGAGCAGGCTCTGAGTGTTTGCTTGGTCTCACCTGTCTTTTGTCCCTGGCACACATCACCCTTCCTGGGCCAGGCAGGTCCCACCTGGGCTGGTCCTTGAACTCCCTGGCCCACGGGGCCGTGGCTGGGTGTGTGTACAGCAGCCAGCAGTGATGTCTAAGATGCTCTGAACCCGCAGAGCCCGGCCCAGTGCTGAGCAGGCTCGTGTGCCGACGCCAGCCAGGTGCCACTGGCCCTGCCTGCAGAGAACATTTGAATGGTTTCTATCTTTATCGCCTCGAGAAGTATATGTAAGAACAGTAAAAACAATCGCAGCTATGCTTAGCCCTCGTGTTTCCCCCTTTAGCAAAGGGAACAGAGAGAGATTGGTTGCGTCGGGTCAGCAGACAAAAGAAACAGGAATAGAAGCTCATTTTTAATGGCAAAGTGCCCTGGTTCTGGGCCCTGACGTCACGCAGTACAAAGGAAATCGACAGGGCTCCAAGGAGAGGGTACCGGACGCCCCCACCCCTCCACCCTGTATCAGCTCTGCAGAAACAACTGTAACTCTTTCAAAGCGACAGCGGCCGTGGACGTGGGGAGCCCACTGAGCAGGTGTCACGTGGTGTGGTGGGAAGGGTGTGGGCCTGGGTTCCAAATTCAGCTCTGCAAGTTGCTTAATCTCGCAAGGCCTTGGTTTCCTCAACTACGAAACGAAAGCGACAGAGCTACTGTGAGAACCAAGCGACTGCGCAGCACAGGGCCTGCGAGGGCCCGCCAGGGACACTGCGGCCGCCGTGATGGCGGGGCAAGTGCAGAGTGCCTGGGGCGGGGCGGGGCTCTGCGGCCCTCGGCACCAAGCTCCGTGGGTCTGGCCATGCCGGAGCCGGTGTGCTCCAGAGCCCAAATTCCCAGTGTGGTTTCAGGTCCACCTACTGGAGCATCCTTCAGGGGGGTGTTAAAATGCACATTCCTAGGTTCAGTCCTTGACTCGGCAAACAATCTCCGGGGGTAGATTTTATTTTATTATTTTATTTTATTTATTGATTTTAGGGAGAGAGGAAGGGAGAGGGAGACAGAAACATCAATGAGAGAGGACATCAACTGGCTGCCTCCTGCATGTCCCCCCTTGAGGATGTGGCCCATAACCTGGGCATGTGCCCTGACCAGGAATTGAACCAGCGACCTCTTGGTGCATGGTTGGGTGCTCAACCACAGACACACAGGCCGGGTAGAATCTGCATTTTAATATGGCGCCCAAGTTGCGTTACTGTGAAATTGTTGAGGACCAAAGCTAGAGACCATGAGCTCCACAGGGGCTGGTCTTCAGACCCCCCGGGACGCAGCCAGTTGGAG